GCACAGGGGCGGAAGGTGGACGCCCTCCGGGTGGACACAGCGGAGCGCGTGGAGCGTCGCTCGGCCGTGGGGGCGCGCGGGGCCCGGGCCGAAGGGGCCCGCAGAGCACTCAGCCGGCTCGGCGCCAGCAGGACGGGCCCGGGGCAGGCAGGGCCAGCGGGAGACGCCGGCTTCCGGGGTGTCCACGAGGCTTGCCTCCCGACAGCCACCCGCCTCCGCCCTGCGCCTGTGGCACGTGCCAGTCCTTCTGCCGCCGAGTCCTCCCTCCCCGGCCTGGCAGCCCCGAGTGATCACTCCATTCAAAGCTGCCAGCCGGGCCTCCCTGGTGGCGCAGGGTCACGTCTCAGCGCTAGGACGCTGTCACTGTCCACAGCCACGCACCCTGAGTGCGACCCCCGGCCGGGGGGGACCCCCAGGGCGCAGCAGGCCTCTCCCGTCTCCCCGCTGCTCCCCTCAGCCGTGGACCTCAGTAGATCTGCCCGTTCTGCTCCCCGCTCTGTCCCTGGGCCCCCATACCTCTGGCCTACACCCGGCTCTTATATGCATAGATAAATAAGCCTTTTTTGTACGATTCGCTTATCTCTGCATTCGAGGAAGTAAAGCTCAGAGCGGCTGTTTCTTCCTGAAGTCACACAGGGGGGCTCCACTCTCTCCACCCCCGGTTCCTGAGCACAGTGGCGGGGACGTGGCCGAGGGCATCTCAGCCCACTGGCGAGGGAGGCCATGTCCGGCCTGGGCCTCGGCCAGCGAGCCGGGTCGACGTGGGTCAGTGCAGACGTGCGGGCAGGCAGGCAGGAGGACATCCTGGGTGGGGCGCAGCTGGGGGCAGGCGCTGGCCACGGCCCGGACGAGACAGGCCCGCCTCTGTCCTCACGTCACGCCCCGCCGCTCACGTGCCGGTCACCTCGCTTGCCAACCGCATGGTGCTCGGCGTGACGTTGCCGTGGACACTCACCAGAAGCGTGCGGGGAGGCTGGGCTGGGTGATTCCCGTGCTCCTCCCTGGGTCTGGAGGGCTGCGGGGTGCTGAGGGGAAGGGCCTGAGCCAAGGGCCGGTCAGGCTGGAGCTGCCAGATGGGACATCAGGCGCCTGTGCCCTGGACCCTGCATGTCATGGCCAGTGTCATGAGAGGACGGGCCGGGGACTCCAGGATCTACCTGCCACTGCAGTGACCAGCCCAGCAGACCCCCAGAGGGCGGCACCATTTGCTCTGTGCCTGGTAAACTGAGGCACAGAGAAGACAAAGCAGGTTCCGAGTTAGAAGTGCCCGGGCCCGCCCCTCGGGCCTCTCCTGGTGTCCTGTCCAGCAGGACCAAGGCTCCTCCGTGTGCAGTGTCCACCGCTCCCACTTTATACGGAAACATCAAGATGCTCTAGAGCAGCCAAGACGCTCGGACAGAGTCCAGGGCCCCACGTCCACCCAGCCAAGCCTGCCGGGCGTTTGGAGAGAGGTCATTTCAGGAAGCCCTGACCCGCCTCATTGCAGATGGGGAAACCGAGGCTGGATAATTTAAAGACTCGCCCCACATCACCCCCAGTTTGCAAGTGGTGACTCTGGGAAGTGGCTCTGGGACATCACCCCTCTCTGGACCATCCACAGCTCCCAGACACAGCCCCGCCCACGCTTTCCTGCTCTTCACCTGTCTCCCTCACTGCAAGCCCCCAACCTGCAGAGGCCCGTGGGGACCATGAGACCCCATGATCGGTGTCACCCCACAGACCTAGCCACGTGTGTCCACAATGCCCGATTTCTTGTTAAAAACGCAGCTTCGGGCCCTCCCTGGTGGCGCAGCGGGTTACAGCACAGCACTGAGAAGCTAAAGCCGCTTACGCATGAGTTCGATTCCCGCCTGCCCCGGAGGTGACCACATGGCGCGGCAGACCTCTCCTGACCCGCCCGCTGCTCCCCTCAGCAGTGGACTTCGTCGATCTGCCTGTTCTGCTCCCTGCTCTGTCTCTGATGAATCCTCTCACCCCCTGCATCTCTGGCCTGTACCCCAGTTCTGTATGCACAAATAAATAAATCTTTAAAAAAAAATGCAGCTTCTGGCACAGCAGGCCCAAGGGCCTGAAACCCTGCGTTCCTGACAAGGGGCGTCCAGGGTCTCCCTCTGGGTCCACGCCACTCCTCGTCGGGGGCCGGGGTCCTGTCTCTCGCCCCCTTAGCCACCACTCACCCTGGGTGAGCCAGCTTTCGAACAGCAGGGGAAAGGCTTTCCCCTTCCACAGCCCCGCGGCCGGGCGGCAGCTCCTTCCCCTTGCGCAGCGCACCCACAGGCCCTGGGGCAGTCGCCCTGGGACGCCGCCAGGCTGGCCCTGAGAGCCCTGGGGTGCAGGGCCCTCTTCTCCCACTGCCCCTCACTGAAATTTTGCCCTTGCCCAAGGCTCCTCCGTGGAGAGCGCATCCCCGGTAATTCTCATTGTGCATTTAGAGCCCATAGGCTTTTATTTATTCATTTATCGTGGTCTTCCTTCCCACCCCCTTCCTCTCCAGGCTGGAATTTACAATTCCGTTCTCAGGTGGCCTTGCGGAAGGACGGAAGCCTGGGTGGAGGGGCGTCTGCGCCCTGAACCCTGAAAAGCCACCCCTGGCTCCTCTTGCACCCTTGCGGTGCTCAGGGGCTCCCGCTCTGCTCAGCTTCACTGGGGACAGGAAGGCCTGGACCCGGGGCGATGCCTGGGGACAGCCACCCACCGGGGTCCCAGCCTGAGGGCAGGGGCCGCGGGTATCACGGGGCGCTCCCTGGTGGCCAGCTGACCCCCAAGTGCCCGCCGCGGGTTCCGCAGCCATCATGACACCCCCCAAGTGGGGGCCTGTAACGGTCCTAGGCCCCGGGGTGGGGCGCAGGACACAGCGTGGCGGCCTCCTGCAGAGGCATCACTACTGGACACTACTGGACGCTACTGGATGCCCTGGGGAAGACACGGCTGAGCGAGGGCCCCTGGCCCCACAGGGAGGAGCAGGCGTCAGGACCAGCTCCTGGACCGGTGGGGATGAGCCCCAGCCCCGAGGGGTTGGGGCCCCCCTGCCGTCACCCGAGGCAAGGAGCATAGCACCTCCCAGGGCACCCCAAGGCCGCCAAATGAGACACCCCCCTCCCCGCCCCGGCCTGCTCCGGGGCAGCAAATGGTGGGGTGGGGCTGAATCCATCGGGACGTGACCCCTCCTCCTTGCAGAGGGGTCCCCCGGGAGGACTGCCCCCCCACCGGCCACGGCAGCAGCCCTGTCCTCCTCGGCACGTCTGTAATCAAACGCGGAGCCGGATGGCCGCGTGCAATGAAATATTTAGTCTCATCAGACAGGTGCGGGACCCGAGGCCCCATGTCGCGCACGGCTGGAGCTGCTATTCCTCCACCGTGTCCCCCGGAGAGCAGGGGCAGGGGACAGACCCCCTCCAGCTCTCAGGTCACGTGCCGGGACTCAGGCTGAGCCGACATCAGGGCTGGGGCCGCCCCAGCCGGGCAGCTGCGCCGGGCCCTCCGCGTGAGCGTGGGGGCAGGGCGGAGTTCGGGGCCAAGGGCCAGCGCTGGCCAGGAGAGGGCCTCCGGCTTGCACACGAGGGCCACCTCCGCCCTGGAAGCCCTGGGCCGGAGCTGGCCCCGCGGCTCACAACCGAGTGGACGCCCTGCTCCCCAGCGTGCTGGCGGAGGTTCCTACTGAAGAGCAGCAGCGGGCTCCGGCACCGCAGGCGGGCGGCTCGGCGGGAGCTGCAGGCCAGTCTCCCTGGGCACTCCTGGCCGGCCGGGCGCCACCTGGCCTTGCCCCTGGCCTTCCAGGCGGCCCCTCCGCCCATCCCTGAGCCCGGGAGCTCTGAGGTTCCTGCGGACCGGAGCCCCAGGACTCTGCTCTCGGCCTGTTTTCTCTGGCACCTGCTGGCCCAGCGCCAGCCGGGGGCGCCCCACGGGAGACGGCCGGGGCAGCCACTTTCCCCTTCCTGACCTGACGGCCCTGGGGTAGCACCGAAGGGCCCCAGGGAATGAGGCCACCCCCGGGGCCCAGGGGGAAACCCCCTCAGTGCAGCCTGAGCCCGAGGGTCCCCAGGGACAAGTGGAGGCGGCAGCCACCCCGGGAGGCCTCTGAGCCCACACCAGCCCCGCTGGCAGCCCCGCCGGGCCTCTGCTGTGCCCAGGCCCCAGGCACTGCCCAGGGAAGCCGCCTGGGTGGGGGCAGCTCGGGGGGGCTCTGGAGCCAGACTCTGGACCTCGTGACTATAGTGGACATCTCCGGGCACCAGCTCCCCTGCCCAGCATTTCATCGCAGAGGTCAGCAGCCTTCATCCCCAGCGCCACCCTTGGGTGTCTGCTGCTGGTGCGGCCAGTAGCAGCGAGGGGACGGGGTTCAGCACCAGCCCCCGCGGGGGGTGCAGACGGAGGGCTCGTCCTCACCACACAGACCTGACCGCCGAGTGGAGGAGAGGGCTCCACGCGGGACGCCCCGGCGCGGCCCCACACGTGACACCCCGACCACGCGGCTGCTGCGGTCTCGCCACCGGGACCCTCTAGTGCCCGCGGCCCCGCCCACCCACGCCAGCCAGGGGCTCGGGTGACAGCCGCAGGGCTCCCTGACTGAGCCAGGGCCACTCGGGTGGGATTCAGAGGGGCACAGCCCGCTGTCTGCTCCCCCTTTGTCTCAAGAATCAGGCCGGTGACCCCCACGCACGCCTTCCCCTGCCAGCACCCCCTCAGCGAGTGGCCCGCCCTGGGCTGTCGGGCCGGCCGGGCGGGGAGGACACGTCAGCACAGAGGGGACGAGTGGGGGCCCCCGGGGCGTCTCTGCCAGGCCGCAGGGCTGTGGTCTTCCAGGGAGGAAGCGGCCAGGTGGCCCAGACCCCCCCCATGGCACACGCTGTCACGTGACCCCAGAGGCCACCGCTCCGGCGCCTTTCCAAGGGGGGGCCTGGCCATGGGCCGCCCTTGCTGCCCGCCCACCCGCGGGGCCTGTCCAGACGCCCCCCACCGGCCCGGGCAGACGCAACAGGACCGGCCCCAGGCTGACTTACGTGCGAGCAGAACCTCTCCGGGGGGTCTCCACACGTGATGCCCGAGGGCTCCACCTTCACCCTGACGTAGTCCTTCAGGCGCATCACCTTGGGCTGGCAGGCATAGAACTCCCAGGTGGGCCCCTCGTCCGAGGTCACCCAGGATTTGCAGATGTCATAGCCCCCGGCGGCCAGCGGGAGGCAGTGCAGGAGGAGCGCCAGCAGGCGCAGCATGACGGCGGGGTCGGCAGGGTGGGGGCCCCAGGGGCCCCGC